CTCCAATCTGTGGTCCGCAGGCCAGATGTGGTCCTTTTAGTTGCCTATATCCGGTCCTTGGGACACCATTCCATCCATTGACATCAATCATGGAGCACCATTCCTCCCACTGACAACAATGATGGGGCACTAATCCATCCACTGATATCAATGATGGGGCACATTCCATTAATTGGCACCAATGATGGAGCACCATTCCTCCTACTGACAGCAATGATGGAGCACAAATCCATTTTCTAACATCAATGATGGGGCGCATTCCATCAGCTGACACTGATGATGGAGCACCATTCCTCCCACTGACACCAGGGATGGGGCATTGTTCCTTCCACTGATACAATTGGTCACTATTTCCCATTAAAACCAATGATGGGGCATTGTTTACTTCCACTTATGCTGGGGCATTTTTTACTCCCACTGGCTGTTGTCTGGCCCCCTAAAGCTGGAAGAACATCAAACTAGCCCATTGTTTAGAAAGTTTGGAGACCCCTGCCCTAGACAGAAGAGATCCAGGCAACACAGGACAGCTGCTGATCCCGCTCACCTAAAGTGGAACTTCACTCTCTCAATCAGCTGCTAGCATTAGTAAATACATAGGAATGTATATTTACTTGTTTTAAACTTTTTTCTTATACATTTCTTCGGTTACTTCCTGGTCTCCATGCCTAGGCAAATCATGTCATACATCCTAGGAGTCTTCAGGAGGGGAGGAGGGGTTTTCTCAGTTAAGCACACCCTTCTGCTTGCATGCCTGAGCTAAGGGCAGATGGATTCCAATAAGTAAATGCTACATGAATCATCTGCCCTTACCCAAGATGACCACTGCCAGAAATGCTTGGGAATGTTTTACAAAGTGATTTCCCAGCAAAATAAAGCATAGAGACGTGAATGGGGAGCTTGCTTTGAATATTATAAATGAATTTAATAGCGGTTCTGCTTTGTAGTGCTCAGAAGCGGTATAGTTCCATTTTAAAGCTTGACAACATAAGAGGAAAGGATTTTGTTTTGCACCTTGTCTGCATTTCTAAATTGCTGAAGCAGGATGTCAGTGCATTAATCAGCACCTGTAAAGGATGGAAGAACAGACAGTGGTGTATTTAGGTTTTGTGCTGCCCTAGGCAACACAAAAATCGGGCGCCCCCCCGGCAGAGAGCCTGACACTGACCAACACCAGACCCCTCCCCCCCCCCCCCCGAGGAGAGAGCCTGACAGTGACCAACAACACCCCTGCCCCATCCCCCCCCCCACCCAAGAAAGCCTTCCACTAACACCCACCCCCAAAGGGGCTCAGAGAGAAAGACGCTCACCTTCACAGCTCTGGACATCCCCGAGAACGAAAGTTGGGCTCTGCATATACAGGAGCGGACTGACCATTCAAGGGCCCGGGGTCAGTAGGGGGTCCCATGAGATGCCCCTGGTACCTTTCATTGGCTTTTTTATAGGCTTTTTTGGGTGTGGGCGAGCACACAGGGGCCCCATGAGCTCCTATTGCCCGGGGGACCCATGAGTTGTCAGTCCGCCTCTGTGCATATACCATCAAGCAGCCTACAGCCTCTCTCAGATCTCACCTAGTCCCCATGCTGCATATGTCCCTTCTTCCAGGGGTCAGTGCTGCCCCCCCTAAAAAATGCTGCCCTAGGCAAATGCCTTGTGGTAAATACGCCTCTGAGAACAGAACATGTCTATGTACTGTCACGTTTTGGTTTTTTTTTTCTGAACTTCAACTTTTTCTTTTGTTCTTCATAATATTTCCTTTTTTGTGTCCTGCACTCTAGATCAGGTGTCTTTCTAAACAAAGGGCCAGTTAAATGTCCTTCAGACTTTAAGGGGGACCAGAGGAATTGGAAATTTTCCTGGCATCAGTGGGAAAAAAACATCACATTTGGTATTATGGGGAGAAATAGTGCCCCATCGTTGGGATCATTGGGAAAAATAGTGCCCCATTGCTGGCGTCAGTGGGAGAAATGGTGCCGCATTGTCAGTTGGCAGAATATTGTCTCGTATCTGTGGGAGGAATAGTGACCCAAGGGCGGGATAAAGGCAAGCAAAGGGCCCCATCCGGCCCCCTGGACGCACTTTGGAGACCACTGCTCTAGATGTAAGAAAGACACCTACCTTACCTCATCTCCGCTTTGTTTTTCCCTTACCTTGATCCCTTGATCATCAAGCAGGATCCTGTTCATCCAAAATAACCAAACGTAAACATATTTTTTTATTAATAATTATCTTTTTTATTTTCTTTTTATACATTTTATTATTCAGTGCTCTCAGCTCAATGGATTTTCAAACCAGCTTATAAAAAATGCACATTATTCTTTTTTTGTGATTTGTGTTTTTTTAAACAATGTTTCAACCCCCTTTCTTCATTCTTTAAATAAATTATCACCTTTTCCTCCAATGCCGAGTAAACCCTTTTTCCTTGGTGAAGAAGGGCTTTGACAAAAATTAAAAAAAGAGAAAAAAGAAAAAAAAAAGAAACTTTGTTTGCTTAGGCTCTGAACAAACATAAATATGCACATATTTATACCCACACAAATAAAGAATAAATACTTCGAAATAAGTTAAAACAACAGTTCAAAAGATCTCGCCAGGTGTTTTTTTTTTTTTTTAAAGATTTTTGTTCGCTTTTTTTCTTTACATAAATGTCCATTTTTTGTTTTTTTTTTTTACCTCTGTTGACTCTTTTATGTTTAATTTGAGAGATCCTACAACATTCTACTAAACACAGCCAAATAAACCACACATAACCTAGTAACAAATAACTAACTAAAATTTGGGGATTTTTTTTTTTGGCAGGAGATGTTGCTCTCCACCTTATCCCGACTACGTTATTTTATTTATTAGAAAAAATAAACACAAAAAGCAATTAAATAATATTAAAACACATCCACTGGGGCGTTAACCTAAAAATAAACGAAAAAACGATTTAGAGAACAGACGCTAACTTAACTAATGAACAACCAAATTTTTCTTCTAGCTATTATTTTGCTACACAATGATTCGATGCCAAGCTAGTTCAATATATATTATGAATATTTGCTATAAATTAAGGCTGCAGTCCCACTTTCCATTTTATTATCAGTATGTGTATCAAGTGTACTTTAACATATGGTTACCACATAGAAGGGCCGGCTCAAGGCTGCCTGGTAGGGAAACTGAAACTATGGCTATAGGTGACTTGGTTGAAAACCAATTTTTTAAATATTTGTTTAGCCTCTTAAAAAAACGGCCATGAAGAGAGTCCTTTTGCCAGAGAAAAAAAACCTTTGTGCTATAGTCCTATGCCAGAGATAGAGCTTTCATTTTCATCCAATAGATACAAAAATACTTGTTCCAGCAAAAAAAAAAAAAAAGGACTAGAGATGTAGAATGATATACATCTTAAATTTATTATGTCCCAGGAACACATTTGACCTCTCTTTCAATAAAACCCTATAATATCTGAAACCTGCCTTTCTCCAAAGGTCGTATTTAATTGCTCATGACACACCAAGAGCCGGTCCACTTATTTATCCCAGGGATTTGTTTGGTAAATCTTAAATTCCACATTAAAATTGTAATTTTTTTTTTCAACATTCTTTTCTCATTTCAGAGAAAGAAATACAAATCTTAAAAATATATATTTTTCTCTGTCAAAATGCAGAAAATGTAGATTTGTCTGAATAAGTGGGGCTGAAGCTATAATTTTCATCTGCTCTAATTTTTTTAAAACCCAAACCTGGCACAATATTCACTATTAATATTTAATAAAAATACACAAAAATTTGGATTCCCCTTTATGAGTGGGGGGTGTGAATGATTTTAATTACCAAACCAGGGGCCAATGTGTAAAATATATAAAGTCTCAGAATGAAAAGGCTTTTAACAAGTCCCAAAACTTAGGAATCCTTTAACAAATAAATATTTTATTTAAATATTATTACTCGGGGGGGATAATTACCTATAAAGATAATATATAATATGTTCAAAACATGAATTATTATATACATATTTAGTAACATGATGTATATTTATGTATTTATATTTTCTTTTTTTTTTTTTTAGGAAGTTAATTTTGCTGGTCCATTTTAATTCCTTATGGAATCTATATTCGCAGAAAGGAATTAAAAAAAAAGAAAAAGATTGAATCCGATAGTGACTTGAGCACTATTTTCTGTGTGTATATTTGTTAATGGACTCTTGTGTTTTGGGACAAGTGTGAAAGGCTTAAAATGTTCACGGGATTTTTTTTCCTTTTTTATAAAAATAGATATTTTTTTTTCTCTCTTGTTTCTGCGCCCGTCTCATTTCTTCGTTTATTACTCTTTAGAAGGAAGGATGTTGAGTGGTAAAAATATGGAGTGGAGATAGAGGCAGTGAAACGGTGCAAAGCCTTGTGGCAGAGGGAAAACCAAACTAGTTCACGGCCAAAGTGAGAGAGGCACTCTTTACCATAGAGTTTTCAGGCTCTAAACCTCCCATACCAGCCAAAGAGCTCCTAAGTACTGTATCTGTTTTGCTCTGAAGTGCTCAGTTCACACATCTCAGTACCTTCTAAATAGGTTTATGATTCTTAGTCTGCAAGGCCATTCATTTCTGATTCCTTTTTGGTTCTGAACTTTCTAAAACTGATTTAATAATGTCTTGTGTTCATATTTGACAGACAATATCTACTCAGATCTGCACATACTTACTTATTTAAAACCCAGTGGCATCAGAATCCCAACAAGAACAACAGAAGTGCCATGTTTAGCATCGCCATACTACAAATCGATTGCACCAGAACTTGAGATGCTTGGGTTTACATTTTTTTAACCAGCTTTAGAATTAGCATATTGCTTAGCCCTTCCTTTATTCCAAAGCCCTTCAGTTATTGGGCTTGTTATGTGTCCAACCTTAGTGGTGGTAAAAATGTTTAAAGTTCCACTGATTTTGCCTTCTCTCTCCCTTTTTCATGCCCCCTCTCTTGCACCTCTTCCCCAATTTCTATCTCTCGCTCCCTCCACTCAATGTGCTCCCTTTCATGCTTTGTGCTGTTTACTGGTCTTGAATGACACTTGCAAGACCCTATCTCCAAGCCGGTATCCGTTCAGGCTGGCAATGGCCATGGCTGCTTCGTCGTAGTTTGTCATGGTGACAAATCCAAAGCCTTTGCACTTGTTGGTGGTAAAGTCCCGAATTACTTTCACGTTTGTCACTGCTCCGAATGGCCCAAACAGTTGCCACAGGACACTTTCGTCGGCCTCTGGGGAGAGGTTGTAGACAAAGATGCACCAGCCCGCAGAAGTGGGACCAGTCAAGCTGACTCCAGCAAGGTTGGTAACACTGTCAATGGTGATAGGAGAGAACCTGGGAAGGAAAGAGAGCGGACTACATTGGGTGTAAGGAATAGGTCTATGACAGACGGAAGGAAGAGTGAAGGACTGAGGAAGAAGACAGAGAAGATGTAGAAAAGTTCCACATGAAAGACTGAAAGAGGAGGTACACATACAATGCAGAAGGTGGTCAAAACTGAACTACAACTAGGTGAAGTCTATGTACTAATAAAGGGCATATACCAAACAGGCAAGTAGATTAATGGAAGAAGTTCTGAGCACATGTTTTCTGGACCAAATTTATACTGGGAAGAGCAGCATGATGATTAATGGAAAGAAAAATTCATTCAAATAGTAGATAATGGAGAAACAATAAGAACAGACACCAGAAGCCATGAAATAAATAGAACCAGTCATTACATTTAAAAGTAGGAAAACAATAACCTATGGCCAAGAACATTGGCCTACCAAGTGGAAAACAACGTTGATTCACTAGAACGATACAATGGCAAACAACAAAACAGAAGACAAAAAAAATGCTACAACCATGAGAATATGCTAAGAATGACCTGAATGAAACCAAAGAGTCCGGTAACCAAAGCATTAATCTAGTGCCCAACAAGGCCTTCTCTAACACATCAAATATTGCTGATGGTTCCTAGATTCTCCTAAATTCTACAAAAAATTTACAGCACAAGAGACAACTGGAGAATTTCTAATGAAATTGCATGTTACGGAAAAATTGTAGAAGGTAGAAGAAGAGACTGCAACCATAGAAATGATCATGTTACAGTAAGAATTGCAGGAGACATACATAAGGTGTACAGCTACAGAAAAACAAAAATACTGCACACACAGTGATTGACAAAATGAACTGAAACTGAAAATAAAAAAAAACAAAAAGGATCCTAATAGACAGGCAGTTGTGGCACAGATATTGGGCTTACTGTACAAATTAAAATTTTTGCAAATCAACAAAAATTTATGAGAAAAACTATTACCGTTTCTTGCCAATTTTAAAATTTTTGCATATTCTTCTGACCGGAATTTGAGAGTCTGGCATGAAGCTAGAAAACTAGACATTTTCTGCACGTTATACATTGCAACACTAAACTTTTGACACTTTTTTTCTACCATTCTCTTTTGACAGGAGAGATTTAAATGTGTTGGGGGATTTTATAGTGGCTATGGAAAGTTAAGTTTTTTTCTTTCTTCTAATTGAGTTTACAGTTTTTGTTTTGCTTATTTATTATACTAATCATTTATTGCTCAGAACAATAAGTATAATAAAGCAAATCTAAATCAGAGGAGAGCACAGGAGACATTTTTCTAGTCAATAGAGGTCATCATAGCACCTTAAATGATCAAAAATAAAACTATAAAAAAGTATATAAAAAAAAACTATAAAAAAAAATCACAACATATTATATGTATTCAGAGGCGTCATGACGTAATTTCCGCTGATGTCACTTCCGGGTGGTGGAACTCACGCCACTTGGGTGAACGGAGTGGGTAGTGGCCATCTTCCTCATTGCACAAGCTGACTGCACTGGGTGCTGGTCTCAAGGTACGACAAGATGGGAGTGTATGTTTACAAATAAATTCATTTGAATGGTTTTACAGGATGGGATCTTTCTTCCTATCTTTTATATGGCTGGATGTATTGAGTGTGCTGCAAATTGTCTGGAGTAAAGGAATGGTGGTGATTACATAGAGGAATGCCACACAAGTGCTGTTGACCATACGGTCCATGTGGGGCACCTGCAGCACTGTCAAGAGGAGCACTACAAGTATCAGAGCACTGGCACTTTTTTCACACTTTTGGACTATTTCTGGAACTTTTTGGACTTATAAGTTAACACTGTGTTTGTTGCATATTATTTATTTTTTATGGAATGAATATAATATGTTGTGAAGTTTTGTTTTTGACCATTTATAGTACAGTGTGTTCAATTTAACACGTATATAGGACTTCAGAAGTCACTGCTGGTTTTCTATAGGTTTTTCACTGTTTTTAGTTGTTTTTCTGTCAACCTTAGATATCCAAGGGGCAGAGCTACACTTATATACATTTTTAATCATAGCTCATTGTGCTGTCTGCCCTTAAGCCAAAGATTCTCTTTTAGAAATTCAGAAAAGCAGTAAATGTGCACTTTCATTGCTCCTCCAATTATGATGACAACATTCAGATGTTCTGTTTTATTTAAAGTTAGTGAACATGGACTTCCCGTATAATGCTTCTCTATGGAAGAAGGGCTGCAAGCTTGGGGTTTCGTTAAGGAATAAGGGCTTCCTGATTGGTGGTTGTGTACAAAATAGGTACTTCCTGTGTTATGTTTCTGTAGGAATTAGACACTTCCTGTGTTATGTTTCTGTAAGAAATAGGCACTTCCTGCTTGGTTTCTGTAGGAAATAGGCACTTCCTGTTTTATGTTTCTGTAAGAAATAGACACTTCCTGTTTGTTTCTATAGATCAGGGGTGTCCAAACTATGGCCCTCCAGCTGCTGAAGTACTACAAGTCCCATCATGCCTCTGCCTCTGGGTGTCTTGCCTGTGGAGGTCAGAGTCTTGCAAGGCCTCATGGGACTTGCAGTTCCTCAACACCTGGAGGGCCATAATTTGGACACCCCTGCTATAGATAATAGGCACTTCCAGTTTTATATTTCAGTAGGAAATAAGGACTTTCTTGTTTGACGTTTCTGCATTGAATAGGTGCTACCTGGTTGATGTTGCTGTAGGAAATAGGCACTTCCTGTTTTATGTTTCTGTAGGAAATAGGCACTTCCTGTATGATGTTTCTTCCGAAAATAGGCACTTCCTGTTTTATGTTTCTGTAGATAATAGGCACTTCCTGTTTTATGTTTCTGTAGATAATAGGCACTTCCTGTTTTATGTTTCTGTAGGAAATAGGTACTTCCTGTTTTATGTTTCTGTAGGAAATAGGTACTTCCTGTATGATGTTTCTTCCGAAAATAGGCACTTCCTGTTTTATGTTTCTGTAGATAATAGGCACTTCCTGTTTTATGTTTCAGTAGGAAAGAAGGATTTTCTTTTTGATTTTTCTGCATTGAATAGGTGCTACCTGTTTGACATTTCTGTAGGACATAGGCACTTCTTGTTTGACGTTTCTGTGGGACATGGGCACTTCCTGTTTGATGTTTCTGTAGGGAATAGGCACTTCCTGTTTGATGTTTCTGTAGGGAATAGGCACTTCCTGTTTTATATTTCTGCAGGAAATAAGGATTTTCTTTTTGATGTTTCTGCATGGAATAGGTGCTACCTGTTTGATGTTTTTATAGGAGATACGCATTTCCTATTTTATATTTTTTTGCAGGAAATGGGAATTTCCTGTTTGATGTTTCTCTAGATAATGGGCATTTCGTATTAGATGTTTCTGTAGGAAATAGGCACTTCCTGTTCGATATTTTGGAAGGAATTAGGCACTTCCTGTCTGATGTTTCTGTAGGAAATAGGCGCTTCTTGTTCAATACTTTTTTAGGTCTAGGGACCTTTACACCCAAGACTTCTCTAGAAAATATGGACTTCATGCTGAAGGCTTATCCCTTCAAGTATCATCACTTAGTAGTGCAATCTGTGCATCTCCATTACTGGTCACTACCATTACAAAATGACCGACTCGTCACGTAAGCAGCATGGTAACCACGCCTAGCAAAAGCTGACATACGGTTTCAAAATCAAGAAGCTGACATCAGGTAAGCAGAATGGGGAGCCATTTTAGTCAAAGCTGAAACTCCGATACATCGAGCCTACAGCGAACATATCATAGACCACCAATCTACCCATAGTCAATGGCAGGGTTATTAATACAACAACACACCAAGACTTGATTATTAATAAGGTTCATGAATTTGCTGTCCCCTTTAGCAACCAGTCAGTCAGAAGCACCTGAGTCTAGTGTTGGCTGTGTCATTCATTGTGATTAGCTGCTCCAAGGGCTGAGGTAGCCCATAGAGTGTCAAAGTCAGCAAGAGGGGCAAATATTAAGGTTTAGGAGAACTCAAAATGAAGCACAAAGTGCAATACTGACTATGTAAGAGGAACTGGCTTTTGACCTTACATAGGATGAACAATGAATGTTCCACTGGTTTTTTTGGCCTATAGCGAGAAATCTGTTTCCAGCAAAGTCCCACGTCTATGCATTCATGATATTAGTCTTTTGTTTGCACCTTTTGCGTCTCTGCATAAGATCTGGCAGGTTATCATAATTTTAAACTCGCCTGAGTAAGAAGAAAAATGTATCTAACCTGAGAGTCTCAATCCCCAACCTGAGCAAATTGTCCTCTCCTGCTTCCTTGTCTTCATCATGTGAAGCTTGGAACTCTTATGCACCCTTCAGCACTGGCTCTTCAAATATACTTGACTAGACTTGGGGAGGTATGTAATAATGTTGTGTTGCTATGTTCCACCTTTCTTTGGCACGGAAAATCCCCAAAAAAAGCCACACACAAAAAAAAAAACCCGCAAAGAATCGAAGCACGTTAGTGGGAGTTACTTCCTGCATCAGAACACTGACAACATGAACAGCAAAGAGCCAATGATGTCCAGGGAAAGATAGTTGCAGTCTGAAGTTTTGGTCAGCAGTTTTGTGGTTTTGGTTAGCAGAATGAAGAAAAAATTGCTTTAAAATGAATAGTAAAAAATGCTACACTTAAAGGGTTAGTTCACCTTTACCAAAAAACCACCTATGCAGGTAAGGGTCACCTGTAGACAGAAAACTAACTATGAAACTCTGAGTAAGGCTCTATAATGCTCTCTCTTTAGGTGTAGGCCATTTACAAACTTTCTGACCCTAGGTTCACATCTGTGCGGGTGGTGCCACTGCGGATCCGCTCGAAAATCCGTGCAGCCGCACCACCCGCACAGAGAATTGCGGACCCGCGGGAGTGGGCCATTAGTTTTAATGGCATGCCGCCCGCACTGGAAAACGCAACCTTAGTGGGAACCGAGGGCTGCATTTTCCAAAGAAGTGCAGGGACTTCTTCCCTGCTTGTCACGGGCATGGTAGTCCATTC